CATCACAGGTGGCCAAAGTTATATAAATGGGTTAGCACATATGTGCGTACGTGTGAAACGTGTCAACGGGTGAAACCCTCGCCCCATTCGGCAGCGCCGCTGGCTAGTTTGCCTATTTCCACTGGGTGCTGGGAGTCCATTAGTATGTATTTTGTGTTTGGCCTACCAAAAGATTCGCATGGCAACACAGGTATTGTGGTCTTTGTTGACCGTTTGAGCAAGATGGCTCACTTAGCGGCTGTGCCAGAATCGATCGATGGTATGGGTACAGCGGAGCTGTTTATCGATCGATTATTTCGCCAACATGGCTTGCCAGTGGCAATTGTTTCCGATCGTGATCCTCGTTTTACGAGTAAATTTTGGAAGTCCGTCTTCCAGGTGCTGGGCACCCGTTTGGACATGTCCACAGCGGATCATCCGCAGACCGATGGTCAAACCGAGCGCGTAAATCGCGTTGTTGAAGATATCCTCCGCAGCGTTTGTGCTGAAACGCCTAAGCGATGGAGCTCTATGCTCCCTGTAGTTGAGTTTGCACTCAATTACTCCGTGCACGCCTCTACCGGCTACACTCAGTTCTATGTGAATGGCCTCACACACCCAAGCGTTCCGTTAACGCTACCACCGAGTGGTTCAGGGCTTGGTGGGGGAGAGGTTGCCGATCGGCTTGCTGATGTCAGCCCTAATACTGTTAAGAAACCGGTAAATGCGTTTCTCGCAACGCGACTAAATGTCTTACGACATATGCAAGATGAAATGGCTGATAGTCAAGATAAACAAAAAGGAATATGCAGATGCGAAAGGCAGAGGTTGTATTAATGATTATGAGGTCGGAGACCAAGTATTACTAAATGCTAAAAATCTACCTACCAATGTAGTATCCGCTGTCTTTAAGACGAAGTTGCGTCCGCGCTTTATCGGACCCTTTACGGTCATTGCCAAGAAAGGCACAGCGTATACGCTTAACTTGCCGCGCAAATTGAGTACACATCCTGTGTTCTATGTCGGCATGCTCAAAAAGTATCGGGATCCGTCCCAAGTAAATATTAAGGCGCTGGCGCCGAGACCATTGGCATTGTCGCGGGACGGAGCATCTGCACCAACAGGTCAAGCTGACCCTGCATTCGGGTTCGGCTCACTTCCTGGGACTCAAGACGGGAGTTCATCGTCTGCCTTTTCTCACGAAGGGACCGCACCTCTTGGACAAGCTCGGCATGAGCTTGTACAGATACACCGGCCTCCTCCGGCTTTGCTCGATGCGCAGGGGAACCTTCAGTTTCATGTGGAGCGTGTACTGCAGAAGCGTCGCCGCCATGGTGAAAACCAGTATCTGGTAAAGTGGCGGGGTTATCCCAAGTCGTGGAACTCATGGGAGTTTGAGATTCCCCTTCGGCAGGACTGCCCATACGCCGTGGACGTTTTTGAGCGTCGTGCGCAGGGTAAGCCTGTTGGCGCTGACGCTTCTCACCAGTAATGGTGGGTGTAGGCGGGTTAGCGGCCTTGGCCTGTCGTGGACTCGGCGGCTACAGGTGTAGCCGAAACATTGGAATGCTGGGTAGCAGACGCATAATGCGTTCGTTGGGATTTCAATTTTCCCCGGGCCTTCAGTTTAGCGTAATCGTAACGCATCTTCCGCTCGAGTCGAACATCTGCCACATCGGCACTTGACCGTAGGGCCCACATGCTGCATAAACGTCGCGCATAATGCGCCCAGCGGCTGAAAGCCGTGTCTTCTTCGTCCTCGGTTTTCCCCGCGAACAGAAGGATGGGAACACCCTTTATGGGAGGAACTGGTGCACCACGCACTTGCCTGTTAAGGCGTGCCAAGTATTGGCTTTGTGTAGTAATGTGGGGTTCCAGATATCGTTGTCGAAGTGCCGTTCGCGTGGCACACATCCTCAGGTGAAATGGCCTCAGGCCCAATGGTCCAACCAGAAAGGGAATGCCCAGATGCCTCCTTTAGGCGTTCTTCCACCGTAGGTGGTTTGAACCTGTACTGTCGGTGGTCCTGAAGTCTCGCCATATTCTTCGTCCGGCTCTTGGCGCCTTCCTCTTGGTCGATGGTCTGCTGTTGCTGCTCGTCGAGTGGGTTGGTAACCGTTGCAGTTGACGATACGTCAGGCAGGTCACGTAACGCTGTTAGCGCATCTGCAGCACCACTTTCCGGGAACGGATTCTGTGCATGACTTGTGTCATCTTCACCCGTGAGGGTGGCTAAAGGGGACCCATCGGGTCCCACAAAGACGGTGTCACTTTCGTAATCAACCGCTTCGTCGAGGTTGTCGTCAACGAGGTCCCGAAGAGTCTGTGACTCACTGCCAGGAGGCGTCATGTTAGGTGCCGTAAACAAACCGTGAGGTTTTAAACGTTCGCTAAAGCACTACCTCAAAGAGGTAAGATGTCGAGTGACATTCTATGGGAACGTCGGTCTGATGGGGGAGGGTGTAACGGGGTTACACGATGGTTGTAGCGTCTTTCCGAGAGTTTACGGTTGAATTCCCCTTTGTATTGCATATAATGCACTATTATACTTCTCTTTAGAGAGGTATTAAGTATGAGCGCTAAGATACGGTATTCGGTAATACCGTATCTTATCGATTGGGATTCGATAAATCACTAACGCTGTATTAAGTACATCATACACAGATGTTTAGACGATACGTCGTCCAATAGCAAAGTCTGCATATAAAATAATTACTATTATAGTAATTAATCTAGTGTAGTGTACTTAGAGTAGGACTATTCATAAAACCTTAAAGCATAAATAAAATCAGTTCTCCTTTTGAGTTTAAGATCGCAAGTCGTTCTGACTTGTTCTCTTGTGCACTTCGTGCGTTGGTTCTCTAAACCTCTAAGCTTCTAGCTTGTTCTTGCACTCTGTGCGTTGGTTCTCTGAACCTTAAGCTTCTTGCTTGACTGACTAAAGTCTGTTTCCTAGTTCCTTAGAACGGGGTGACTTTCAGTCGTTTAATTAGTTCCTTAGAACTCAGTGGCTTTTAGCCTTAAATTTATTTAGTTCTCTAGAACTAAGAGGCTTCCAGCCGAAAGTCTTCCTCTGGCTAAAGAGCTGTGCAGCTCCGCTACACTCAGTCTTAGACACTTAGGTAGCCAGGATCCTGACTACCTAAGTCTACTAAGACTGACTGTAGCGGAGCTGCACAGCTCTTTAGCCAGAGGAAGACTTTCGGCTGGAAGCCTCTTAGTTCTAGAGAACTAAATAAATTTAAGGCTAAAAGCCACTGAGTTCTAAGGAACTAATTAAACGACTGAAAGTCACCCCGTTCTAAGGAACTAGGAAACAGACTTTAGTCAGTCAAGCAAGAAGCTTAAGGTTCAGAGAACCAACGCACAGAGTGCAAGAACAAGCTAGAAGCTTAGAGGTTTAGAGAACCAACGCAAGAAGTGCACAAGAGAACAAGTCAGAACGACTTGCGATCTTAAACTCAAAAGGAGAACTGATTTTATTTATGCTTTAAGGTTTTATGAATAGTCCTACTCTAAGTACACTACACTAGATTAATTACTATAATAGTAATTATTATATGCAGACTTTGCTATTGGACGACGTATCGTCTAAACATCTGTGTATGATGTACTTAATACAGCGTTAGTGATTTATCGAATCCCAATCGATAAGATACGGTATTACCGAATACCGTATCTTAACGCTCATACTTAATACCTCTCTAAAGAGAAGTATAATAGTGCATTATATGCAATACAAAGGGGAATTCAACCGTAAACTTTCGGAATGATGTTCTAACCGTCGTGTAACCCCGTTACGTGGCAGCTTCCTTACGAAGTGCCCGTCTACCACTGTGATACGACTACTTTGACGACGGAATTGCTGACCTTTTAAGGCAGGTCGGAATACATAATTGGTACGAGAGTCATTTGTGTATCTTGCTTTGAGTTTCTCACCCAACTCGTCATTCCTTGTGACTTGCTTAACAAATGTAACAGACGGCTCGGGGCACTCTGAATCCTTTCACCACAAGGCGTGCTAGCTTGCGTACTCGCAGCAAAAACTTACATCTTTAAAACGTTAGTTATTGCACTTGCCCTGCTTGCTAAATTTTGGAAGATGGACACCACTACAAGTCAACCTAGTTAAAATGTCGTAGCCTGATAAATATCGATGAACGAACGACCTTGAACGTGTCAATAACGTTCCACAACACGAAACTTCCTAAACCACTCCTTCCCACTGCATTGAAACGTACGAGCCAACAAGCGCATTGTTTTCGCTTTGAATCAGGCTCCATGTGTAAACCTTCTTGCAGACGTATGACATTCGCCAAGAGCGACATCCTCATCTCCTTCAAAATTTTTGCAATTTGTTGGTCTCAATAAGACTGGCGAGAGCGAGGCCTCTTGCCGGATTGTTCAAAGTGATTCCACCTCAAATGTTTAACTAGTCGTTGTCTGGAATTGCCGCCATGATCTTTTCGCCGCAATAAAGTCCACGCAGAGAACCTCTAGCAGTAGCTTTATCAGCACCGAGAGATAGAAGTGTACCGTCATTCTTGCTGAGAGCACGTGCGCTATGGTTTTGACCTGCTGCAAAGTCAACAATGATTTATATATGACAATGAGTAGCCCATACGCTACATGTGTAACGTTACGCGCCGTACCGTTCGTAGACCGTTTTTTTTCATTATAAGCAGTGCTCAAAGATGAAAACTGGGTGAGAAAATTCGCCTTATTATTGCGCCATGTGAATAGTTTTGTTTGACCCTACTGGAAAGTGGCGTTTTCTAAACATTAAGTTTAAGGTGTTGGAAGAGCCACACCCATTAAAGCATCATGATTCACAGGACTGGCGTTCCATTGAACAGTCGCACTGCTTGGACACTCTGACGAATGTCGCATGAAGGTTGCATTAGAAGCGGAAGTTGCCCCAAATATAACTTTACATTTGTATGCCTGTGTTTTGCGGATGCGGTGGAAGCTCAAAAGGCATTTCTCAAAAGAGCTAAAAACAGCCACTGACAGTAACAACTATGATGCACCGCAGCCTATTGCGATCTGGAAGCGTCTTGACTACGCGCGTGGCCCCACGCCCCTCATCGGGTGTGCGCCACTTCCGTAAAAGTTCGTCCTTTCTCTGCCTTGCTTAACTACTACCTACTTCTCAGGAGCTTTCAGTCGGCTAACACGATTACTTTCTCTTATTTAGACGCTCCCATCAAGTACACGGAAAACAAGGAGGTCACGGGTCTCGCAGGAATTGTGGAAGGTACTGAAGCTAAAGGCCGTTACGTCTATCTTCCATATCCTCTCTTTACTGATACAGCTCTTTCTTTCTCTCTCTCGGTATGAGCGCACCTCCCAGCCGACAACCACGTACTCTCGACCAAGTTGATGCACCTGACAAATGTAAGCCTCATATTCGCCGTGCCACTCGCTTTCGTGCTAAGCCCGTCGCCGCTGGTGCTGCCTGTGGATCTCGCTGTCGGTGTGATCCTGCCTGTGCACGCCCACATTGGCATAAACAATGTCATCTCGGACTATGTGCCCAAAAACGTGCGCACGCTAGCACGTCTTGGCTGGCTAGGCGCCACGTCGCTCATGTTTTTGGGCTTACTGCGCGTCAACCTGGAAGGTCCGGGCATTACGGAGGTGGTCAAGACGATCTGGCGAGAGTCGCCCAATAAGGAAAAGAGCGAGGCGTAGATTGTCAACTGCCAATAGCTACTTCATCTTCTTCTTAAAGAGGAATATTGTTATTGACACAGAAGAAGTTCGAGGCGAAGACAGAAGCATTGTAACTTCAAATGGGTAGCAAACTAAATACGACCTTATTCATGATCTACATACATGTACACTATACTCTTCGCACAGCATTTTGACACATGAAACCGCAACGTGCTAGCTTGATATCAACTCTTAAATGACTGGAGACGGCAGCAGCATTGTAGCATTGCCAATGGCGACGACAACGCCGTCGCTCGTCTTCGTGCATACAGTCTCGCACTCGACAAAGCGCTTGCGAACTTTCGTCACGCAGATGCGAGCTGTCACTTTTTCATCTACCAGTAGCGGCGCTTTCCAGCGTATATCTTGTTTGACGTACAATGCGCCCGGTACAGTGCGACCGAAAATGGTGGCAAAAAGACTGCCGACCAAAAGACCTTGCACTATGGGCTTGCTCTTGGACGCGTGCTTGAGAGCAAAGTCAGCGTCCACGTGCAGTAAATTGTTATCACCTGAAAGTCGAGCAAAGGCGCGAGTGTCTTCGATCGAGAAGGCGTGCGTAACCTGCGCCTCCACCCCTACGGCCGGGATGGCTCCTGAAACGAGCTACAAGTAAATGCAATTGGTCAAACGGTGATCTATTTGCAACAAGATGACAGCATATATATAGAGAACCTTTGTGAGTTCGCCTTTCACTTTGAAAAGGCCACTCGTGATCGAAGTGCTCATCGTGGCAGCCCATCGAGAGGTCAGCAAGCGCAAGTTGACTTGCCGCTGCATGGCGTCGTACTTAAATGAGTGTAAACTTGTGTGGATGCACATAGTCATTCGTCACCGAAATGCAAAGACTGGCAAAGACGTCGCGTCTGTCGCTGGGGCGTCTGTCACTCGGGCGTCTTTTCCAACAGCAGCCCATTGGTATGTGTGTGCTCGGCCTCTGTATTGTCATGAGGAGTCTACAGTTCTGACCTTTTGATGTGCCATTTTCGCTAGAGGATATCCCGGAGCTCAGGAGTATTCTGGCTGTTCAGAACCTAGTGGCCAAGATTCCAGAGAACCCTATTCCACGTTGTTTGAACAAGAATGACGCGTATTGTCAGTGGATAAAGACGTATTGTAGTATCAACTATCTGACTATGCTGGACAAGGAAACCTTTGGTGCGTTCGTAAAAGAGGCTGGTGTTTATCTCCAGACACAAGAAGACGAAGCTTTCCAGGACTGTGGAAACATTGGACCAATGGAAGAGGAGGAACTCATTAGTCCCAAGGCAGACGCTTTCGTAGAGGCAGTCAAGATAAAGCTGGCAAGACACATGTGCATACGCACTGCAGCCAGCTTCGAGCTTTTGGACAAGGACAAGGATGGTGAGCGATGTTATGAGTCTACCTTCATTAAAAGTGGATATCTTACAGTTCTTTGCTACAACTTTTGCAGGAAAGATTCACGTTGACGAGGTAACAAGGTTACTGCAAGTTGCAGTACACGGCAATGGAACGGAATGGCTGAAGAGTAAGTTTTTCGATTTGTTTTTTGGTAGTATGAGATCCATATTAATCATGATGTGCCACAAGGTCTGTTCCACTTGTACGATGCAGACGGCGATGATGTTGTGAACGAGGCCGAGTCGAAGCTCATTTTAGATTCTATGATTCAGACGCAGAAGGTGGTCATGACCGAGATTTTTGCGACCCATGTAAGCTGATGCAGTGGCTTGGGTTGTGCAATAATTTTTCGCGTATATCACTCATAAAGAGTGCGCTTGCTACAACTAGGTGCACAATCTGCCCAAGAAACGCGAGAAATGTTTTGCCAAGAGCATGGTAGAGGAGGATTTCAAGTCAAAAATACCGGAGAAAGTGCGATGCGTGTTTCACTTTGCCAACAAGCTGGACAAAGAGCGCAAAACATACGACTGGGAACTCTTTGAAGACTCGAAGGTAAAACCAAATTTGTGTGGTGCAAGGCGAGTGGAATTAATTTTGTTTGTGGATACTACTAGAAAGTGGAGTTTCCAGAACTGCACAATATGCTCGCCGTTTACGCGAAGGGCTTCTACGATGAAAGGTACAAATTGAGTAAAAGATGAGGATTAAACTCCGTGTGTAACAGAAAGCTAACTTGTGGACGCGTTTGCCACTCTTGCTTGCAGATTTATTTTTTATGAGCGCAAGCAGGAGAGACAAAGCACACGGTACAAGGGTCTGCTGCTCGCAACTGCTATTGGTCTGGGTGATTACATCGCTGCTGTGATATAGAGACGCTGCGGCACCGGCCAAAATGGATAGTGCGTAGTAGAGTGTAGCTACAATAATTTTCAGTACATTGCTGCTGTGATCTAGAGACGCTTTGGTATCGGCCAACATGTACACTGTGCAACCGTAATGAATTCGATTCTTGCAGTCAGCACCAATCGAATACTGCACATAACTACGTGTGGATTCATGTGACGATATAACAGGTAGCACAGCGAGACTGGCGAGTGACATGCCAGTTTATGACATGAAACAGTTGAGAGTATCTGACATGCCACAGTTGACAGGTTATAATAGCACGTCACTACACACGATAGGACTTATGATTGTTTCATTCATTCATTCCTTTTTTTACAGTAAGCCTTTCCAGCAAGCTCCCGGAGCCAAAGGCCCCTCTGCCAGCCAAGGACGTATCACGAGAAAGCAAAGTTTGAGAAGTGCTTCCATCTTATGTACTTAGTGAGTTTTAGCTTCCTTGTAGCAGGTTAAGACGATGAAGCTGATGGCAAATGTGTTGTCTGTTCTAGGGAGTTCGAGTTGTTCAATGGCCGCGCCGTGGTCCCGAGGCTTCGAGGAAGAACCGGTCTATTTCTTCAGTAATTTGACGCAGCCGAATTCTTATTACTCAGTCCAGCAATACTTACCTATAAAGACAACCCACCTGACATTTAGTAATGCTACATTGCGTTTAGTGGTACATTGATGTCGCTCGAGACGCCAATATATATCACTAAGCTTAAGAGTCTTTGTTGAAGTGAGTAGTATTCTTCAGGCCGTTGCTGACAAAAGTAATATTCATGATTTATTATTGATCTAATCAAACGCAAAGGCGCGCAAAGATCACGAAAAATAGGTCAAAAGTTAAAGGTGGTAGGGCTGTTACAACGATGAATGTTGGTAATGACGTCAGTGATGTGGGACACGTCACCTTGGATATTCGATGATCTCTTTTCAAGTCTCCACGTGTCGATACGACAGTACACCACATCAGTTCTTGTCATTTTGAATTTTTACGAGTACTTCGCACTCAGTCGTTACTCGCTTGGTCTAAATGATGTTTCTGAAACATGCAGGTCGCGCGCTGGCACTGCTGTTCACCGTAGCACTACTAGCCCGTGGAGCCGAATTTGAAGAAGAGGACGACGTTTTGGTCCTGACCGAGAGCAACTTTGATGAGGCCGTATCAGGCCACGATACGCTTCTAGTCGAGTTCTATGCGCCGTGGTGCGGCCACTGTAAACAATTAACGCCCGAATATGCAGCAGCGGCCACGAATCTCAAGCAGTTGGAGAAACCTATTCGTCTTGCCAAGGTGGACGCTACAGCTGAGGCCCAATTGGCCGAGAGGTTTTCCATTCGTGGGTTCCCTACTCTCAAGTTCTTCAAGGGTAATGTGGAGGCCGTCACGGACTTCGATGGTGGTCGTACGGCACCGGAGATTGAAAAGTGGGTCATCAAGAAATCTGGTCCTGCTGTTACGATCATTGAAACTGTTGAGCAGCTCGAAGAGATTAAGGAGAGTAATGATGTGGTTGTGTTTGCCGTGGTCGACGCTGTGGACGGTGAGGCACGCAAGATGCTGGAGAAGCTAGCTGATGCGGACGCCATTGCCGTATACGTGGCGTCCACTAGTACGGACGTTACGGAGGACGCTGCTGCTGTGAACAAGGTGGTGGTGTACAAGAAGTTTGACGAAGGCAAAGTTGTATACGATGGAGAGTTTGAGGCCGAGTCTTTGGGCAAGTTTATCAAGTCCAATAGTCTACCGCTTGTCATCACGTTCACGAAGGACAAGGCCAGTATGATCTTTGGTGGTGAGATGAATGAGCACGTGTTGCTCTTCGTAGACCCGAGCAAGGACTATATGGATGGCATTGAAGCTGCTTTAAAGACGCCGGCTGATGCCAACAAGGGCAAGTTGCTACACGTTATTATCCCCAACAGTGAGAAACAAATTGTGGAGTACTTTGGTCTCACGGATGAGGACATGCCTGCTGTCATCTTGGCGCACATGGGCGGATCCATGAAGAAGTACGGCTTTGACTACAAGGGGGATGATCTTGTTGCTAAGATCGGAAAGGGTTTTGCCGATGACCTGGCCGCTTTTGAAAAGAGCTACATTGAAGGCAAACTGACGCCCGAGCTTAAGTCTGCCGAACCTGAGGACGACAGCGATGAAGCCGTGAAGATTATTGTGGGTAAGGAGTTCCAGCAGCGTGTGATTGATAACGAGAAGGATGTGATGCTTGAGTTCTATGCTCCGTGGTGTGGCCACTGCAAGTCTCTTGCTCCCAAGTACGAGGAGCTGGCCGAGGAGTTTGCGGACGTGGAGAGCATCATGATTGCCAAGATGGACGCCACTGCTAACGAGATTGATCACGATGGTGTGGACGTTCGTGGCTTCCCGACGCTAATCTTTTTCCCTGCCAATGATAAGCAGAATCCGATTGTGTACGAAGGCTCGCGTGATGTGGAGGGTATCTCAGAGTTCCTGAAGAACAACGCGCAAAAGTTCGAGCTTGACGGCGCGGAGTTTGGTGTGAATGAGGATGGCGACGAGGTTGAGCAGGGAGAGAAGGCGGATGCCTTGGAAGAAAAGGAGGGTGCTGAGCACGAAGAGCTGTAGGGAGTGTGTTTGGTCTCTTGCTGCTGCGTACAGAAGAAAGAAAATATGACTTGAAAGTAAATGCAGTTGCGATTGAGCTTTAGGTGCATTTTATTAGTATGGTCACATCAAGCTTGCGTAGACAATCTTGCATTAAGCCTGATGTAAGAAAGATCGTCATTCTGGTGACAGTTGTTGCTTTGGCAGGCTCGTTATGGCGGAGGTCATTGGCCTCAGACTTTTGGTAAAAGATGCTAGAAAAGATGACAGTTGGTTGAAGGGCTGTCAATTCGAATCTTTGGCTGCATCGTGCTTATGATGACCGACTCCGCCTCGCTAATACATAGCCATCATTATAAGACACAGCATGCACGACGGTGCTGCACGACCCGAGGATAGTGATGCTTAAAGGCCAAGCGCTAACACATAGCCATCATTATAAGACACAGCATGCACGACGGTGCTGCACGACCCGAGGATAGTGATGCTTAAAGGCCAAGAAGAAACAAGCCATTTACTTGTCTTTGGGAAGGCGAAGCGCACGCAGGCCTAGATTTTCTCGAGGCTGCGCGAGCGCGGCGTTAACGGGTTAAAGATTCATTTTCGAAGGCGCCAAAATGATTAAGGCTTTCCTTTACGGAAACTGAGATACAGTGTAGTCGTGCAGCGACGGAAGTAATTTTTCAGCAAAGTTGCGTCTGTAACCGTTGTTTGGACAGTCATGCTAGACGCTTCATTTCGTCAGCTCAAGCCGGCGCAAATATGAAGCGGAACAAGGTGCAAGACATGCCACGGCGCTAAGACACAAATGTGGTAGCAGCTGCTAACAAAGCAGCATTTAATATATTTATATGAGAAGTAAATAGGGGCTGGTAAAAAACACACGAGCGGGCAGCGAGCAGCAGCACGAAGACCAAACCAAATAAGGATGGACGGAAGCACGCCGCGCACGCACGAGCTCATAGATAGATACAGAGCGCCACCTCTCCTTTTCGCTTCCAACGCCTTAATGGAAGCGCTCGAACACGCTCAGGCGGGGGCTCTCCTCGTCGTCACTGCTACTACTTGAGGCGTCCTTCGAGTCCCCAGCAGCAGCAGCTCCAACGCCGTCGAATGGTTTGCTATCAAGACTCAGTGACAGTCCAGTCGACCACGGCTGCGCTTGCAGGTCATCACTGGTAAAAGGCGTCGGCGAAGCGGTCGGAAAGTCCTTCCACAACTCGTCTGACTGAAGGGAGAACTCCGACTTTGTCTTAGTGATTGCCGTTGAGGTTGAGGCGAGAGCAGGCGAAGAGACACTAGAAAGACGGCGTCCACGACCAGTCGGGGTCGGGGTTGTCTCGGGCGTAGTAACGGTGTCCGTAGTTGGCTCGTCGTCATCGTCCTGGGTCAAAGAGAACTTCATCAATGCGTCGATGGCATCCTGGAGGTCCGGGTAGCTTGGTGACGAAGCACTAGAAGCAGCGTTATTCACCGAATTGGCTCGCTGCTGAACAGGCAGACCAATACTGCCAAGCGAGCTCTGTTGTTTAAGACAAGCATTGCCAGCATAATTAGGGTGAAGATTGGCGGAAGGGGATATGCCCGGCACTCCCCAGGAAGAATTCTTGTCCAGCGAGGACAAAAACGAATAGTTGTCCTTGGGGTAAGTAGACATCACTTGGTGGTGATGCGGACGGAGTTGTTGCAGATGAGGTGGATTGGGCTGTTCACTATAAAGAGCACCACCATAGCTGAGGTCTACGGACGGCTGAGGTGGAGCCATGACACCAGCACTCAAAGCTCCAAGACGGTCCTTCTCGTGAAAAAACATGCCGCCACCCAAATGGTTCGGGGGACTGTATTGTGGCTGCACGTAACCTTCAGTCTCTTCGTGGATAAACCGGCAGCGACTGCCATAAAGACAGTGACCCGATCCCCAGTACGACTTGCATTTGGTAGTTTTGTATTTCGGATGACGCACAACATGACGCAACTCAGCGATACCGTGAGCAAACTGGCACTTGGCTGTAGTAAAATAGTATCAGTAAATTTCTATTTAAAGAGAGTATAGAATAGTGAAGTGAAAAATAAACGAACCTCCATAGCGACAGTTGCCAAACTCGGAGAAACGTTTACAAAGTTCCGTTTTATATAGCGATGACTTGGTGCCATTCTTTGGACTATTTTCTTCATTAATATACGACACAACACCCATGTCTTCAGGTGGAAGCGCATACCCATCCTGGCTCGAGGAGGTATCAAGTTCCAGAAAATCATTCTCTTTTGGTATTGAATAGTAACCGAGATGGTCCATAGACGAAAGCAGCATGGCAGAAGACGAGATTATCGAAAATCAAATAGTGTGGTAGAATCTCGGACAAATTTCCTATAAAGAAGGCACTTGGTTCTCTCTCTGTCTCTCACTTTCACTATAGTAGCACTCACGTGGGAGAAAGAAGCAGCGAAATTGAAAACTGGCAGGGAGCTGGCAGCAGCGAAAGTAACGGGAAGAGTTGCGGTTCTCACTCGGGTGTGTAAGCCCACTTCACTTGGTTAAACTATGTAGTAGAAATGTCGCCCAGCCGATGGCGCGGTTAGCCTCCCTACCGCTACTTTGAACCGGTTCTATAACGACCAATCACAGCATCCGAAGTATTGAAGTAGCGCTCAACAAGTCAGTAAGTCTGGCGGTTTTTCATTGCACTACTTCTTGCATTGCCGCCTATTAACTCAAGACATTCATTTTTTGTTTGTTTAGAGCATGAGCTTATACAACTACATACATGCTGTCACCCTCACCATATCTGAACGCGCAACAGGGCAGTTGCACATACGTGTTGGATCTGATGAATCAAGAGGTCTTAACGTATTCATGATTGTACTAAAAAATCCCTACTGATGTCAGAAGTTACACGGACAAGGCGAGGGCTAATTAACATTATCAATATTATACATTTTCAGTGGCTACGTTGGGCCAAGCTATTCTTTCAAAGAAGAAAAGTGTGCGTATTGCTTGTATCTAGAAGTAGAAGCGCTACTAATCGTTTTGCCTTCTTTTGAGACTCACATGTACTGATTTACAACCAAGAGTAGCAGAGTCAATCGACCGTGCCTCCGAGAATCTACCGCTCCTCTGTCTACCGAGAATAACTATGAGCTCACGTTCAAGACCAAGCCATTAACCAGGATAGTACTGCCTAATCAAGCAGAAGCGGTTGTTTACATGAGACTGGGAAACAAATAACAGTTGCTGCTAAAGTAACTGCATTTGCGTATATTGCTCAGGAACTGACCTCAGTATGTAATGATGTCAAGATGTGTAATTGTTCAGTCATTAATTAATACCGTCACGAGCGCACGAGCGCACGTGCGCACATGCGCATGTGAGCATTTTTCTTGTGTGAAGTTTGAGACGCATCGAGTGAGCCTGTACATACCAAAGACGTAGTTCAGCTTAGAAGTTTTTAAGGGTACATTTTGATTGCTCGACAGGAACTGAGCTTTTTGTGAATGGGTGTGTGTAACAGAATTACATCTTTAGGTCCTACTTATTCGTTAATACGTAGAATGCATATCACATTGAGCTGATTAAAGTCAAGCCTGTAATGACGGAGCTATAGTATTGTGATCATATATTTTATCATCAGGAAGTACCATAGTAATACTACTCTTCTACCTTAAAGTAATAAATACCCTGCTTTTCTACCGACTATTATTTATATGTATATAGTACCTCAGCGACTGATTGGTCAAATAGCTACTTCGTTACAGAAATAAGCACAAATTCCACGTCCTCAGAATATTAATTTCATAGTAGCATTAGACTGATTTCATTAAAAAATATACTACTATTAATTAATCAAATCTTCCGTAAAGTACTCGCCTAAAAAGGTTCAGTATTTTTTTGGTTTGTCCCGCAATAGTAGCCGTCGTCGCCGCCGCCGCCCGCGCGTCCACCACCCCTTCCTCTTCCATGTCGCTCTTCTCGCGCCGGAAAACCCCAGAGCAGCTTGTAAAGCTACTAAAGGATGCACTAGCAGATCCTTCGTCGCCTGCCAAACCTTCCAAGGACGGGACAGTGAGTTGATAGCCATGAGGTAGTTGACACTTGTCGTTTTATCATTATTTTACTGAGACCTTCAACTATTTGCGCTACTTAGCCCGTGGAAGAAGTCACGAAACGTTTGAGTGAAATGAAGGTGTTACTATATGGGGATGGAGAGCAGGAAGCAAAGCCAGAGAAGTGTGTGCAAATGGCGGAGCTGCTGATTGCGAGCGGACTCGTTCCTAAGCTCATTACGGGGCTGGACAAGCTGCCTTTTGAGGCGCGTAAGCAATTTGCGCAGGTGTACAACAATCTCATGCGTCGTGACCTGGCGGGCTTTGTAAGCCACGCAGAAGGCAAGCCTGAGATCCTCTCGGCACTTGTGACAGGTTACGAAAACCCTGAAGTGGCGCTTAATTGCGGCACCATGCTTCGTGAGGTAAATTATACTGATTTGGAAATGTGTTAAGGTAAGATCTTTTTGTGATGCGCATGTAGTAACAGAGCTGTATATTGCAGTCAATTCGCCACGAGATTCTGGCAGGCAAGATACTGTACTCTCCCGACCTGTGGAAGTTCTTCGATGTGTATGTGCACCTACCCAACTTTGAGGTCGGCTCGGACGCATTTGCGACTTTTAAAGATTTGTTTACACGCCACAAGACTCTAGCTGCTACGTTTTTTACGTCCAACTTTGACGTCGTCTTCGCGAAATACAATAGCCTACTGATGTCCGAGAACTATGTCACCCGACGGCAATCACTGAAATTACTGGGGGAGATCCTGCTGGATCGGTCCAATTTTGACATCATGATGAAGTATATTGGGTAAGTTCGTGTGAAAACATTGACAGAAGTTCGTAGAATTACCGGTGAAAACGTCGCGTTTTATTACAGGGAGAAGGAAAACTTGAAGATGATGATGAACTTACTACGTGATACAAGTGCAAACATCCAGTTTGAGGCCTTTCATGTGTTTAAAGTGTTCGTGGCCAACCCTAAAAAGCCAGAAGCGATCTCTCAGATCCTTGTGAACAACCGTGAGAAACTTATTGCATATCTGAAAAACTTCCAGAACAACAAAGGTATTGCATTGCTTTTGGTTGACATGTGTCATACCGTGTTTTTACTTTCTTGCGTGATGCGAATGCAGAGGATCCCCAGTTTATTGAGGAGAAAGCGTTGCTGATTAGGACACTGGAGGGTCTAAAGATTGGCGAAGCTGCAAGGGAAGCAGCAAATGCCCCGTTGTCACAGTGAGGCCAGCGTTCGCTCGCTTTTCCATGTGGAGTATGGTAGTACACAAATTCCAAGCCTTGTGGGGAGGTAACATAAGAGCTAGGAACGCTTCGTATGCGAGAATAAATTGCTTTGGATGCGAGAGTAAATTGCAATGTAGCTAGAATGTCGTTTTGACTAGTATTGATTAATTTCATGCACGAACAAAATAGGACAGGGCAAAGAAACGGATGAGACAATCGACTTCTGCTCGGGAAGCTCTTGTATTCTGGTGTGTGACCGCTGCTCCCGAGAGAACAACAACACAAGAGCTCATCGCTGCGTTCAACGTCGTCGCGGAGCCTTGGTACATGTTTGCTCCACTCTTGAAGGAGTTGACTGTCGTGATATGTTCCCAAGTTAAAGAGATTGCAACAGTGACAACTATGCTCCTTGTCTAGTCATGTTGCAAGCATGTCTGTGACTATGCTGTTCAATGTGTTTAATATTTTTGTTGTGTCCCATACGCGCAATGTTGACTAAATTTGCACCAGAATTGGCCACGTCATGCATGCCTCGAGGTCCTGCACTGACTGAGAACTGAAAAGGTAGAGAGAGCCGTATACACGAGTAAATCGAGCGTGATGACACGAAAGCGATCCCAATGCTCGTTGTGCCTTCGATTCAGCCGCTACATGTCCAAATCTGCACTCAACTAGAGATGCCATCTTGTCAACTGGGGTCAAAGACGCGATGCCCGTAATGTTTACCGGGTCCATTGACAGGCCAAACCGACCAGTCCACGATGGTCTTGACCGTTGGCGGGATTTGTATCTAAGGTCACGCTTCATAATGATGCACCCTAAGAAGAGAATATCCTCTGCGCCAAAATACACTTGCCTGCGTTGATATAGGCTCGTTTTGTGCACATGCACTCGAGCACCGCTCGCAAATAGCCTCCTCGTCTGACCTAATGTCCTCGGCACGACTGTAAACGAAGATGTCCTGAACGTATGTATGTGCATACACCCAATGGAGCTTTAAGCAGATGTGTCAAAGACGATAAAGCGCTGCAAAACTCACAGCCTTTGGCAAGCCACTCACAGAGCGTTCCTGTGCGAGTAACCAAGGTGGGTTTTAGGAAGCCCAAACCATGAAAAGATCCCGTTATACTTGTGAAGCTCTAGCTGCTCATCGTACAAGCAAGTATACTGCTGAATACAGCTTATGGTTACGAGCTCGGCTTTAATGATCTACGTGGACAAAGAGAGTGACACTGCTGTGAGTTGCCTTACACGTATTAGCTGACGAAGAAGTGTATTCTAAAGGATATGTATATTTTGCATGTAAAATAAATCGGAGACAAAGAAATGTATTATTATACATATCCAGTCAGTAAATTATCTGAGTCGTCAATTGTTAAATCGTCTACACGTACCGACTTAGCCCATCCAATCGGATCACTTCAACTTCCACCGCCTAATGAGCACACACACTGGAAAATAATCAGCCAATCATTCTACGCCTCTCAGCTTTCCCAAGTGAAACAGCTAGTCGCGGAATCGCGAACCTCACGCTCCTGATCCGCCTCTTGCGAGCCTCGACCACTTTCTGCGCCGAACTGGCGCCTGCTACCGCACCTTGCTCGTCTGTCCACGTGACGCACTCCGATCTGGTGCCCCACGAGCGACATTTCGCGCTCCAGCCCACGAGCACAAGAGGTCCTCTATCTCCGTGTAGGCCTTTCTCATCTTCCAGGCTACACTAGTCGTTGTCGTTTGCTTCTCTCTTTGCAGCTATCGCCACATGCACGCCACGAGATCCAGCACCCAGAGCGGAGGCAGCCCCGTCACGGAGGATGAGGAGTCCATGTCTACCTTCACGTCACCACCCTCTGCCTCTATCAGTAGTACCAGCTTCGCACAGCTGCTGCAACGGGCAGCGCAGACAGGAAACGTCAAACAGCTCACCACGCTTATTCAGACCGCACGCACCAGCGCGTTCTATCAATCGTCCAGTGTCGATATCACCAAATGCCCGTCTTGTTCCTCTTCGTTGGACGCATGGCTCAATGCTGCAGATGAAGATGGCTTTACGGCATTACACCTTGCGTGCGTCGGTGGTTACGATGATGCTGTGTATGAGCTATTGCAGGCAGGTGCTCACTTGGAAACCGCAACACCCGAAGGCTTCACCGCGCTCATGTTCGCTGCCTGGACTGGATCGCTCTCCCTCGTGCAGACGCTAGTGTCACATGGAGCAGATGTGTTGGCACGTGACGTAGATGGTAATGATGCTGCCTTTATCGCTGAGATGAATGAGCACGCGAGTGTAGCTAAACTCCTCCAACAACAGGTTGAGAACTCGGAGGACCCACTCCTCAGTTCATCGTCATCAAAAAAGAGCGGACAGGAGCGTTGCCTAGATTCCGAGTCCCTCGAGAACGTTCCTGTTAAGTCCTTTGTCTCTAGCGATTGCAGCGCTTTCACTGTAACTGAAGGATTTGGGATTGATAAAAGCAGCAGCAGTTCTTCCACATGTTCATCGCCCGAGCAGCTTGTGGAAAAGAGGCTCCTTACAAAAGAAACGAGTGCGCCCAGCGTCACTGATGGCGCCACGCCATTGCTCGTTGCGGCTATGCACGGACAATTGGAGACGATCAAGGTGCTCCTTTCTCGCGGCGCTAGTTTGTCAGCCGCGTTGCCGGGTGGTGCTACCGCATTGCACTTGGCGTCGGCGTCAGGCTTTGTTGATGTGGCCTCATACATGATTGACCAAGGCCTGCCAGTCGACCAACGTACAGTAGATGGCACCACTCCGCTGCATGAGGCGGCATACCAGGGACACGCACATGTGGCTGCAATGCTGCTCGAATGTGGGGCAAATGTGAATGCCGCAACTGAGCACGGCACGACACCACTGCATTGCTCAGCTGAAAATGGTCATGTCCAGATTGCAGAGCTGCTGATTACCTATGGAGCACACATCGATGCTGTGACAACGGATTACCTCGCTGCAGTTAATGAGGCTGCAGGCAATGACTCGCGTTGGCGAAGACGTCGGAGGCGCAAAAAATTGGTTGGAGTGAATATGGAAGGAAATGATTTGGATGAAGAAGCGACCGAGGGTGGGTCACGGACACCGGATGAGCTGAAGAAGAAGGTCTCGTCCTGTAGATCGAATCAAGTCGCGCTTTGTCTGGCAGCCAAAAACGGCCATCTGGACATGGTGCAGTATTTGCTTACGCGAGGAGCAGCTAGCCTGACTGATCTTGCGGTACTTGAGCCATCTAGGCACCCAATTGTGCTGGCAGCCCGACGCGGACACGTGGAAATCGTGCGTTTTCTACTGACCCATGACGAGTGCACTTCTAGCTTGCCCGATGCAGCGTCGCATGTTTTATGCTGTGCAGCAGAGCACGGCTACCTGCAAATGGTAGAGCACGCGCTAGCTCGTGGGGCAGACATTGAGGCCGTCGGCGGGAAGAAGCAAGCAACCCCGTTGGTGCTTGCAGCTCGGCAGGGTCACCTTGCTGTTGTGCTACATCTTTTGTGGTGCGGTGCAAAGTTGGACGCTGTGACGATGACTACGGGTTATACTGCGCTGCATTACGCAGCCAAGCATGGGTATCTCACTGTAGTTAACAGTTTACTACTGAACGGTGCGGATGTGGACGCTGCCTGCACACAGCGCTATTCTTCGCCACTACATCTGGCAGCTGAATCAGGTCATGGAGACGTGGTGCGTTGCTTGTTGTCTTTTGATGCAAACATGGAAGCTCCAGGCACTATGACGGCGCTGCACATCGCAGCTGAGCGCGGCCATGTGGGGGTGGCCCATGAGCTTCTGAACCACGGCGCACAACTCGAAGCGCAAGCACAAAATGGTCTACGTGCTCTATTCATCGCCGCGTATTGTGGCCACAAGGACCTCGTGGAGCTGCTGCTGAATCACGGAGCCGAAATGAAAGCGACGTCAGGCATCAACAAGACGACGCCCCTGCGTGGAGCCGTATCAAAAGGCCACGTCGACGTCGTCAAGCTGCTGCTGGCACGAGGTGCCGATCCCAATGCCATCCAGCCCACGGATGGAACAACGGCTATGCACAGCGCGGCTGCCAACGATTTCGGCGACATCCTGAAATCCCTAGTGGCAGCAGGAGCTGACCCCGACCGAGTGGATCGCAATGGGCGTACCCCTTTGGACTATTCCGCGTCAAACTCCATTCGCCTGCAGCTACGCCTGGCACTGCTCAAGCTCCGCTGGCAAAAACAAGACGAGCGTAAGTGATGACTGGAAAGTCAAGATGACGGGACCGAACCTACTAGGGTCAGTCTCTGCTTGAGATGTGCGACTTCTGCTCACATTCTACAAATGCAGTGAAACATGCTAGGACATGTACGAATTACAGAGCAACCGCTCTGCAAACAATTAGAACATTAACACTTTTCGCCTTAGGATAATTACGTATTTATCATTGAGTTTCTACCAGCCTGCTCTGCTTTTCGTGGCTATGCTAGCAAAGGCGGCATTAAATCCATATTGCAGATTTGCACGAGACCATCGTCACCGACAAAAGCAAGCAACAATGTCGTTGTACCATATTCTTGTGATAGTAGCGGATTTAAACGTATAATGTTAATGTCGCTCGCGTGGGCCTTTTCGAATCAGTTGGTCAAAAGAGGATAATGATCCTGTCGACCTTTTTTTACTTATCAGTGCTACATTGTTATATACGTAGGTATACACGATTTTATAGATAAAAAAATATATATATAATTGGTATTTCTTATTTAAAATTATGGCGTGGTTACACAGACGGCGCAAGCAACACACTGTCTATTTACAACGTAGTATTTTTTATATTTGTCCACTTTCATATATAAATGTTTAATTGCCAAATAACTTATTTAAGATTTTGTCGCTTCAAAATTAGCTCATAGCTTTTCAGTCTTTACATTAAACTAAATATGTGTCTTTTTTGTAATTAAATCTTGTTAAAAATGAAAAACCGTGACAGAAAAGTAAGATTTTTTAAGACGTGCTCAAAATTGCAAGCTCATAAATATATGTTTGTTTTCACGCTTGCCCAGCTTCTAGTAAATTAAAAGGTACATTCTGCCTAGTCCGTACAACATGTGGCAAGTATTTTTAAATGCAAAACTTTTAAAAAGCAATATTGTTTGTTTATGAAATATTTAACAAAAGAAAAAAATGTATTAACCTTAAGTGTCACAGATATTTTAGAAGCCTATGATATTATTTTATATACAAAGTGACTGAGGAATTAAAAAGCTCGTTACAACCAAAGATCAGATTAAATACTAAAAACTATAATTTTTTTAGACTTTTACAACGTATGAATGTCTAACAGTTTATACAAAAGGCTAGCGTTTTTATAATTTTATTTATAGCATGATGACGCGTCCTGTATTACCACCCAAATTTCAACGCAATAACCATAAAGCTTAAGAATGCTATAACGATTGTTTATATATATGAATTTCGTAAATAATTGTATTATTTTATTTTTTTGGGAACAGCTAATATGTAAGCTTAAAAATTGACTCAAAATGGAAATTATACAAAGTAGGTCGGGTTGTGTTGCACAGGTAGATATAAAATTTGTTTTGCGTATTACTGAATTAATTTTTCTTTTTATATTAAAGATTCTGTAAAAACAATGCTTTATACATATGCAAAGGTTTTTTGCGTTTAATAAATTGATGTAATTGTCCTTGCTTGACGCGTGAGCCGGTATTAAGTTTGTTTAAAAGTAATTATCATTAACATATTAGTAGATCATAATGTAGATTTTAATAGAATGTACTTTGGTAATTTATGTAGCTACTCAAAAAAAGCCTTATAAAGTGAAAGAGGAACATTTTAACAAATTGTTCGGCTGCGCATTTTTTCCGAGCTTTTACATTAACTGGCTCAGTATCACTACGGACGTTTAAGAAAAATTTTGTTTTACAGCATGTTATTTAGTTATAGATCATACGCTTAATGAGAGAGCACATATAACGTATTGCCAATAGATGTATCATTTATGTAAACGAATTTGTTTCACACTAGATATGCAAAAAGCAATATAGCCATGCATATTTAGAAGCAACATTTTTGTGCATGAGAGTTAATCTTTATTTATGAAATGCGTGTTTTTGCTTGCTAGTAATTTGTTGCTGCTACAACATGTGCTCTTTATAAAATTAAATGTTTAATTAGAACTCGCCGCAAAATAAATAAAATACTTTTTTTGTGGAAGTAAGACACAACCCAAATATCAAGTTGTAGCAATAAGTATATAGCTGAGGGCCATATAACGCCGATTTAACCTATTAATTGTACCTTAATAGTCTGAGCGGTATTGTTTTAACAGTTAAATGCATTGACAAACGTTAGGCAGCTGCAGCTGCAGTGGGGATGTCACTTTACAATGACATCGTGTCCGAAATATCAGTCGTTTTAGCATGCGCTCTATCTTCATTGTATGAGCTGCTTCTATTTCAAATATAGAAGCTAAATGCTCTATATCCATAAAGTAACGCTTGAAATATTCAAAAACGCAACAAACGGCCTAGAGGGTATACTCTGTCACAACCTTTCTAATCTTGTATTTTTGTAATAAATATATATAAACCTCTATAATTTTATATTTTTCAAATTTGTAGGCATTGATAATCACTTGCAAGACAATAACAGCACTGTAGGCGTGCTGATGGTTTCCAATACTACTGCCTGGACTATAAGGCTTAGTGTATACGGCTAGCTTTTATGGTAATTAAATTAGATTTGATTGGACAAGAAGGTTGACTAGGCGGCTGTCGTGATTGCTATGTGGTCCACATAAAATTATGTAGCAGAATGTAGCTCCGATCAATCAATTACCTCCGGTATCGTCGCTTGCTCTTCTCTTTGCTCCACCGCTCAAGCTACAGCAGGTCACGAGTCCAAGCACCACGTCCTGAAGCAACAGTGTCTTCATCAAGAGTTCGATGGAGACAACTGTGCAACTTGGTGTAGGTACAAGGATGAGGGGTTCCTGACAAAGTCATCCTGTCATATAAGCGGGATACGACTCCAAGCTTCGCGGACTCGCGCCAACATCAACGTGAGCAACATTGCGTTTGGACTAATATTGTTTCACATGGACGCAGATTGTTATTATGTGGCTGAAGACAGGACAAGGCGTACGTCAAATACGCACGCTTGAGGAATGTCTACGGTGGCTCACAGAAGGCAGGACGTATCTACCTGAAGCGACAGCTGTCAGCATCAAGACGGCAAAAGGATGTAACGTTCTGCGTCACTATGAACACTGGTGTTGTACGGTATGAGTCTTGAACGATGAGAAGCTTGAACGCAGGCGAAGGGAGTTCACTCAGGAAGACCGGAGAGAAGACACTTGTTGGGAAGAAGGAAGATTTGGAAGTGATTGATTATTGGGGCTTACTTGCCGACTACATAATTTATATGTGAACCACATATAAATTATGTCAAGCGTCTCATCATCCTACAAGTCTAATCATTTTGTTGATGGTATGGCACTGGTGTGACGAGAAGACCGAAAGAGACCGGGGGGAGCGAAGAGGCTTGAGGAGCGGAGCAGAGAACACTTGCTCGGCAGAAGGAGGATTCGAAAGTGATTGATACATAGGTATTAACTCTGCCTACCCTAGACTGCATCGAATCACATGGTGCATCTAATCAACCTGATTTACTCGCGTCCAATCATCCTACGCGTTAATCAACTCTAAGTAATTACCGTAAAAACTACGTCGTAATTACTAAGCTGAATAGGCGGTTTGGATTGGATCGTTCACGGTTACCCAACCTTTGGTGAAACCGATGACCATCAACACATTTGGTAAATACTACCCGTAATTATGCATGATCGAATTAGACAGGTGTTCAGCTAACCGGTAATCAATACATAGCATCTTGATCGGTAAACTCTAACAAATGGCGCCAAGCTTAGTAACATCGGCGCTAAAATGGAGGATGGAGACGTTGCTAGTTGCTTGCTGCTTAGTCTTGTTGAATCTTGTATTTGGAGCGAAGCTTGACTAGGCTTAGGAAGTTCACCTGCGAAGACCCAAGAAAAGACAGAAGAGTGTATATTTGGAGGTGGTTGATTATAAGCTTATTTTGCTAACTGCCCCATCGATATGTGGTTCACATACACATTATGGTGGAATGGAATTATAAACAGGGTAGGAGATCCACAAACACACACAGCGCCGGACTGCCGACTTACGGAGGGATTACCCCGATACCGTGTCGTGTTGGCCTTGGGTCTCACCTTGTGTACCCGTCGGCTTGGCTGGTCTTGCTCCTCGTTAGACGCAGAAGACTTATAGACTTGTTCCTTGTATGGAGGGACTTGGGTGGTATACTTCACTCGGGCCCAGGGTTTCTTGGGCTCAATCGAATGTGTCGAGAGCGATGCACCTGGTACTATGTACCCCTTTCGGTGTCTACCTGTTTCTTGGTCCTTAAGCCCCTTTCTCGTGTTCCCCGTAGAGATTCCGCTTCTTGTAGCGGATGTTGGGTGTCTTGACACTTACATGACCCCTCAGGCCAGCTTCAATTTGCGTAGCTTAAGCCGTCTAACACCTGCTGACGTCAGGGGTCAAAAGTATCCAGTTAAGACTTGATGAACAAAGACCTGACAAGCTGAGACTCAACGATCACAGACAGACTCGACAAACGAAGACTCAATGAACAAAGACTAAACAAGCTAAGACTCAACAAGCTAAGACTTGATGAACGAAGACCTGACGAGCGAAGAATCGATGAACGAAGACCTGACGAACGAAGACTCGATGAATTGATGAACGAAGACTCGATGAACGAAGACTCGATGATCACAGACTCGACAAATAAAGACTCAATGAACAAAGACGAAACGAGCTAAGACTCGACGAGCTAAGACTTGATGAACGAAGACCTGACGAGCGAAGACTCGATGAACGAAGACCTGACGAACGAAGACTCGATGAACGAAGACCTGACGAACGAAGACTCGATGAATTGATGAACGAAGACTTGATGGCCTGAAAATTGATAAACGATAAACCTAACGAGCAAAGACTCGATGAACGAGGACTCGATGATCGCAGACTCGACAAACGAAGACTCAATAAACAAAGACTAAACGAGCTAAGACTCGACACGATACGACTTGATGAACGAAGACGTGACGAACGAAGAATCGATGAACATAGACCTGACGAACGAAGACTCGATGAATCGATGAACGAAGACTCGATGGCCTGAAAATTGAT